TTGCGAGAGGCTAACCATGATTTGTGGTTCGGGAAAGGGTTTCCGAAGCCACTACCACTTCGAATGGGCCTATAGGTTCACACACCATTAGGGATGGATCACACGTGAAGAAAACGACGTGAGAAAGGAACCACAGAACGAGCTGGAAGGGTTCCAAACGGCCAGACCGTCCGGGCCAGCCATGTTAGTCCGTCCGTTCCGCTGAGGAATGGATCGTCCGTATTTGTGGTTCGGGAAAGGGTTTCCGAAGCCACTACCACTTCGAATGGGCCTATAGGTTCACACACCATTAGGGATGGATCACACGTGAAGAAAACGACGTGAGAAAGGAACCACAGAACGAGCTGGAAGGGTTCCAAACGGCCAGCCCGCCCGGCCCAGCCATGTTAGTCCGTCCGTTCCGCTGAGGAATGGATCGTCTGTTCCGCAATCGCCAGACCGTCCGTTCCAGATCTGGAACGGACGATCCAGGCGTTCAGACTGTCCGTTCTGCATAGGATTACGGACCGTTCGTTCCGCGTAGAAGGTCAGACCGTCTGTTCCATACCTGGATTGGACAGTCCGACTTACGGGACAGTTTCCTATTTCGTGTTTTTGGGTTTTTGGGCAATCCTAATTAATGAGTGAGCCGCCATAATCCCTAAGCAATCATCCTCAGACGTCCTAGATACTTCCTAGAGCTTTGGAGAAGCTTTCTCTGGAGTTCTAAATACCGGAATATCGATTCCAAGTCAAGGACGTCGTTTTCTCTTCACAAATCCTAGCAGATACGTTCCAAAGTGTTGGAATTCATCCCGCCGATGTGGATACGTGTAGAGGAGTTGTGCTTTCAACTCTAGGTGATTAAAACAGGCCCTGGATCGATTGATACTTCCAGATCTTGATAGAACGAGGTAAGTATTAGAATCCCACGGTAATATACACGATCATTAGGGTTATTGCACAATTTGTTTTGTGTGACATTTGACTAGGTTTAGATCTTTTCTTCCGCTGCGTGAAACCTAGAATCCAAACCCTAGATCGATGAGATCGCATGCTAGGAACCCGAAGTGATCCCAACACATACATACTTGATTGTCGTGCGATGCGACGACCAACATCATGCGATGTGACGGGCGTGTGAGACACTCCTGGTCATGTGATGTGACCAGGGTTCACGGCTAGCCCTATGACGTGAAGCCATACAGAAATGAATGTGATTATATTCTGATGTGATATGAGTATATGTTTAATGTTGAATATTATATTTTGTGTTTTATCATTTTAACAACGTTCTCGCTGAGAACGGGTTTATCGGGTTCAATCCAGGCTACTCACTAAGCGGTTGTACTTAGCCCTCGTGGTTTTATCCTTTTTAGATCACGAGGAGTACGTGTAGCGTATCTAGACGACGATGAAGATTTGAGAGGTGTAGTATCATGTACAGATTTGATTTGTGTTAATTTTTGAAAATGATGTTTTCCTTTGCGTTGTATTTTAAGATTGGACGTGTTAATTAAAGATTGTATTAAACTATTCCACTGTGTGTTTATAAAATAAAAGTTTTAAAATTTTTCGTATTTTTGTTTGGTACTATTTTATTGGTTTTAGTCCATATGGCGCATCCTGTTTACGAGAATCGGGATACTGGTGTCTCAATGCTACCCATAAGGAACCCGCTCGTGTGAAGAGGTTCCATATGAGTTTAAGGCATAGAATCTTTTTCCACTCCGTAATATCCCTAAGCCAGTCCTCCGCGTGCTTTAGGGAGACAAATAGTTGTCCAAGATACCTTAGCTCCTCTTAGCAGATTCGATAGATCCCTTCCACAAGAAAGCTGAACACATGGATTCAATATCCCTCGCACAACTATTCGGGATAATGAAAGCAGAAGCCCAGAAGGTAATGACGTTATATATAACTGACTTAATCAGTTGAAACGTCCAGCAAAAGACGTGTTTCTCTGTCCATGAGTTGACTTGCCTCGGATAGTTTCCCTGAGTCTAGAACAGTCGACATCCCGGAGCTTCGTCGTTGAGAGGGGAAATCCAAGGTAGCGAACAGGTGGGTAAGAGTGACCCACACCAAGCTGTGTCGCCAATATCAAAGCTGCAGAACTATCACCGCCATCCAAGAACAAATATGTTTTGCTCTTGTTTGGTTTCAATCCCGAGTAACCGTAGAACTCATCAAACACGACAAGTACAACTAAGAGAGAGGGGTAAGAGCTATCCGAAAAAACCATAATATCATCTGTAAAACAGAGGTGGGAAACAAGCGGGGACCAACACTTAGGGGGAAGGACAACCCTTCCTTCAACAACTGCGGTATCTATAGATCTCGAAAGTACATTCATTACCAAAGCAAAGAGATAAGGGGAGAAGGGGTCACCTTGTCGAATGCCTTTTCTCCCTTGGAAAAAATCCGTAACTTCACCATTTTAGAGTTCAGAGAGAGAGAGAGAGAGAGAGAGAGAGATGCGGCGACATCGATTCTGACGGACCCCAACCCTAGCAATAAAATCCACTTCTCAACCGGTAAAATCCACTCACCAGCCACCGCCGGTAAGCTCCTTTCACCCGCCCAGCCCACCTGTGTTTCCATCCTTTTCAACCCTCAACCCTTTTTCATTTTGAAATCCCTCTATCTCCTGAACCCAAAAATTGCGCCGCCCTAACCCTGCAGTGGTCGTGATTCTCTCGCCCCCAGGGCAACTCATGGCAAAGAAAAACACCAACAAGGCCTCTCCCACCCCCAGGGCAAAGAAGAAACCCCCGTCTCCGGGGATTCAGCCCACAAATTCCCCACCGAATCCGCCCGTCTCACCGCCTCCGGGTGGCACAACCCTCTCCCCAAACCCACGTTCCTCCCCCTCTTCCACTCTTCCACCCCCACCTCCTAATGCTCCCTCTACGAGTCAGGCGACCACGATCCCAGCCTACACAGAGCAACGGCCTGTCTCGAGACCACCACCGCTCTCGCAGATAGAGTTCCCGCCTCTCCCGTCGGCGACAAAGTCAACACTAGTGGCCATAATCTCTGGCAAACTCACTACGGAGACACGTGCAGCTGCGATGGCTCCACCTGTGACGAAATTCCCATGGGCGAAGCATCTTCGCGCTTCCTCACGTAATCTGCCTAGACTTGCCACCCCATCTTATTCAGAAGCTGGCATACCCAGGGTACGTGTTCCTGGATATGTCATCGTCGAAGCCTCGAAAGCTTGGACCGGATACCTAGTTGGTCACTTCTTTGGCGTCTCCCCCTCGGGATCTAAAATTTTTCAGGTTTTAAACCCGATTTGGGGTCGCAAGTCCAAAATATTTATTCGACGGATCAATGACACTACTTGTATGTTCCACATTCCGGATCTAGCTACCAGAGAATGGATTCTCGAGGTTGGGATCTAGCGAGCGGCGGATGTTATGTTCACTGTGGCAGAATGGACTACAACCTCTTCACTCAGACAACACTCGTTGACCTCGGCACCTGTCTGGATCACTCTGCAGAATATCTCGGCTGAACTGTATTCCCTCAAGGGCATTAGCTATATAGCAAGTGGCATTGGCGAACCTTTACACACTGAACGGATGAGAGTTGATCCTTCTAGCGTTGGTGAAGCATGTGTCAAGGTGGAAATACAGCTTGGGTCGACCCTCCCAGATTTGGTTGAGATCGAGGATGACAAAGGCGGAATAATTGGAATCAAGGTCAATTACGCATGGATTCCTCCCCGATGCCTGACCTGTGAATAGTTTGGTCACAAGGCACAAAGCTGCCCATCCAAACCTCCTAGCTTAAAGCCAGGATCCCCGACTCTGAAACCACCGGTAAACCGTCAACATGTACCCCCATCTTCCTCACTACTCCCCATTGTCGCACAATCGACTCCAAATTCAACTTCCCAATTTCCTAACGTTTCTGTTGACTCGGGTGCCATCTCCCCTTCTCTAACACACACCGAACCTCAGACCCATACCCCGATCAACACCCAACCCATCCCTAAAAACAATCCACCTACTTTAACTCATCAATCGAGCCAAGACAAACCTGAAACAGTGAAAGCAACCTCAGTAACTACCACCTTAGAGTTTGTGGTCGCCCAAACTGTCGTGCAATCCCCGAGTTCATTAGTTCCACCAGCGAATCCGCAACCTCTGTTAGTTTTTGAATCGGAGGAGCAATTGGTAATGGAAGCCCAACGCCTGCTTCGTTCACGCCTACAATCTGCACCACAGAGTTCAAATGATTTCATAGAAGTCAAGCGAACTCGTAGCGGCTGCAAGAGGCGTGACCTATAAATACTTGTAATACTACCTTTTGGCTTTTGCATTTTGGGAACACTACAAAGCAGATTAGTAATGAAGAAAGTTTTTTTGCTCGAATACCCGTGGGTTAAATAATCCATCGAAACAACGTAGCATCAAAACATGGATATCATCACAAGATTCGGTCATTAGAGGTCTTGTTGAAACCAGGGTCCGAAATAAAGCTGATGCTAGTCAGATTGTGCAACATATGCTGCCTGGGTGGTCGCTCGCTACAAACTATCGGATGGCAGAATTGGGGAGAATTTGGGTCGTCTAGCATCTTGATATCTCTGTGGTCATTTACAGAACTTCAACGCAAATGGTGACTTGTGGTGTATTTGACCCCTCTTCAGGAATATATATCACGGTCTCCTTTGTCTATGCCAAGAATATTCCCATTGAGAGGCGATAACTTTGGAATGAGATTAAAGATCTGGCTTCCAATGATCTGATTGCCACACGACCATGGGTGCTTACTGGGGACTTCAGTTAGGTTCTGAAACCTGATGAACATGCCTCCCCCACTTCTCCGTTCTCGCCCCATTCAGGCATGTTTGAGTTTCAAGACTATCTTTTCTCCAGCCATCTGTTCGATCTCGTGTACAGGGAGAGCCATCTCACATGGACAAACTGCAGTCTTGATAATCCCATAGCCAGGAAATTGGACAGGGCTATTGTGAATGAGCAATGGTTGCTCTTTTTCCCCTCTTCCTATGCTTTTTTCGACCCTCCAACCCCGTCGGATCACTGCCCATGTCTGATCTCTCTGTCGCCAGGAGTGACCAAGAGAAAAAACACTATTTTTAAGTTCTTTTCACATCTTGTACAAGATCCAGGATTTCGGTCTTTGGTGGAGCGCTGTTGGACAACCGCCCCTATCACTCGCAACCACATGTTTTCCCTATCATTGAAGCTGAAGAAACTGAAGCCCCAACTACAGAGTTTGAATCAACGATCATACAACAACATTTCCCAGCGTGCGGCGAAACCATTGTCGGCACTAAAGGATGCTCAAGCAGCCTTCCTAACTAATCCTACCATTGAAGCATCGCATACTGAGGCCTCCCTTCGGAGCTCATGGTTAGCTTTGGCAACGACAGAAGATACATTCTTTAAGCAAAAATCTCGCATCAGATGGCTTAAAGAAGGAGACCAAAACACGAAGTTTTTCCACCGAGCGGTGGTTTCTAGGCAATCGACTAACACTATACGCTTTCTTCTTAATGATGCAGGGGAAAGAATTAATGATGTTGCCCATATGAAGTCACTAGCGGTGGAATATTATCGAAATATACTGGGCTCTGAGGATTCTAACCTCTTGTGCTTCCCGATACAAAAGCTACAAGAGCTGCTTACATATCGCTGTCCGCCAGAGCTATTCCAACATCTCACTCGCTGCCCTTCAGCAGAGGAAGTTAAGGCTGAGCTATTATCCCTCCCGCGTGGGAAGGCACCAGGGCCGGATGGTTTCCCAGCAGAATTTTTCACATCAAGTTGGGACATTGTGGGATCTGACCTAGTGGCGGCGGTGACGCAGTTCTTTGAATCCGGCATTTTGCCGAGACAATGGAACACGATGCTAATCACGCTGATTCCGAAAGTCAAGATTCCAAACCAGCTGAACGATTTTAGGCCAATCTCCTGCTGTAATACAACGTACAAGCTTATTTCTCGTATTCTCGCCAAACGTCTTAAGTTAATCATTGAAGGGGCTATATCACCGAATCAAACAGCATTTATACCGGGGTGAACGATTATGGAGAATGTCCTTCTTGCTTCTGAGCTAACGGCAGGTTTTCGTAGCAAAGGCCAAGCACATCATGCACTGTTGAAGGTGGACTTGTCCAAGGCATTTGACTCGGTCAATTGGATTTTTGTGATCAACATTCTACACGCTCTCGGTTTACCAGCTAAATTCATTGGGTGGATTGAGGTATGCCTAATGACTCTGTCATTCTCGTTGTCTTTTAATGGGGAACTTGCTGGTTTCTTCTCAGGAAAACGTGGGCTACGTTAGGGTGATCCGTTATCACCTTACCTCTTTGTATTGGTCATGGACATATTGTCTCACATGCTCAATCAGGCGGTTAATCAAGGTCGGATAAATCTCTCGCGATTCTGCCGTAGTCCGAAGCTTTCGCACCTCGCTTTTGCGGATGACTGATTTTCTCTGAATGCACTGAGAGCTCACTTAATGCGGTCTTAAAAGTCTTAGAAGCTTTCTACCTCACTTCGGGGCTTAAAATTAACAAGCAAAAGACGGTCTTATTTACTAACGGGGATCAAATCATGGTTGCTAGTAATATGGCTGCACATCTTGGAGTTTCCCATGGCTCTCTTCCTGTAAGGTATCTGGGACTGCCACTAACATCATCTAAGCTTAGGGATCGTGACTGTGGGCCTCTAGTCGACACCATCAGATGTGAAAAAGCACTCTCACACGATATTGCAAGTCAAAAATTCCAAAACTGATTCTATTTCTTTGATATGTGTCAAGTACACTTCAATCCTTTCCAAGTAGCACTCAACCCACCCAGTTTCGCTCCCCCTGAGTAAAACCCCAATATCACAAGAAATTCTATCAGCCATAAACACTTTGTGTGCAGCGCACACCACGTGTTACCCTAGACCTCGTCTAGGCTAGTGAGCAGTTCGCCTGTTACTTAAGGCTTCCCCTCAGATCTACCTCACGTTCTCTCAGATATCTCTCACCAGTGTTTCCCGTACATATGACTCTCACCAAGGTCACAGACTCTGCTTCTCAGTAGCAATCATCTCGACAGCCCTTCTGTAATGGGGTCTTCAGTATATATAGACCTCTCCAAGTGATTCTCTCAATATCTTCATAATATGCATTTTTCCTTTTTCTTCATTGATGCATGTGTCTTCTTTCCTTTTGTTGCTTCTTTCCTTTTGTGCTTTCCAAATTCAACTCCATACTTCCATTTGTTGATTTTATTCTTCTAGATGCTGAATATGCTATTTCCTTGCTTTAACAATCTCCCCCTTTTTGACTTTCTGCTTAGACACACTCAAACTCACAGAACACGTAATCGCAATTCATAGCAACCAAGATATGTCTACACATTTGGTTCAACATAACACACATAACCAAGGTCATATCATTAGACAAATTCAGACAGTAAACACACGTAGTATTTAGAACACATAATTAAGTGAAATCTACTTCAGTAATTTTGAACTACTGTTCACACTCAGTTTACTCTTCCTGATCAGACTTAGTCGCAGCGGAATGTTGATCTTAGCATCTGAAACTGATCGAACCTTAATTTCCATTTTCTCCCCCTGTGTGTTTAAGCAGAAGCTCAAAAAACATTTAAGCTCAATATCCAGACAAGTTTGGAAACCACTCATTTAAACGGGAAATTTTAAGTTTTTCGAAAACACTAATGATTTTTCAGTTTCCGCCTCGTCACAATTTAACATGTTCATATTACTAAAGCGTCTAAATAATCACAGGTCATTTTTTTTTAAAAAAAATCACACAGCAACCAAAAGAGAATCAAACGATTAGGTTAGAGATACTTGTCATGAAGATAATCAAGTCTCTGAAATGATCCTTTCGGTCAGTTGCACTTCACACATTCTAAGGCACTTCTCAAACCATACATAGTGTTGAACAATTTTTCATACTCTTTAGTATTCAGGTTCTGAACTTCTAGGACGTTGTATCAACAAGGACTTCCCACCATTTAGATCCAGACTATCTCTTTTAGAGATATACTCTTATAGATGCAATTTTTCTGCCATCTACAGCGGAGTATTCAGAACCTTTTTTTTTTGTTCTTCAGCCCTTAGACCATCGTATAGAATCTCGTCTCACAACTTAGACCCGAGCAGCTCATTTGTTTACTCATGTCATGAACTTTGTATAGATATCACTTTCTGTTCTGTTCTTTTTCATTTCTTTCCCCTTTTTTTTTGTTTTCCATGACAGCGGAGTATCATAACCTGTATTGAATCTACTATATCAGTGAGATATACCTGAGAAATAATGAAGCCCATCTGACCTTCATTTTCATCTCATTGACTTTCACATCTCCTGACCTGTACTCTTTCCTGCACATTTTTCTTCTAAAACGTTGAGAAAAAAAATTAGAGCTCCCCACACTAAGGAATTTTTGTAAACAAACAAACCTGTTCATATTTAGAGGTTTAGTGAATATGTCAACCAATTGTTTCTCAGTAGGAACATACTCAATCATCATGGTTTTCTTCTCAACTTGTTCCCATAGTAAATGATGTTGCACAAAATTCTTTGAGATATTAATGCCACTCATATCATCACAACGTGCAGTAAAAGAGGGTAAGTTGATACCGTAATCGAATAGCATCTGACGGATCCACAGAGGTTGAGTGCAATAGCTTCCCAAGACAATGTATTCTGCTTCGACAGAAGTACTTCGTCGATCATCAGCATGATCTCCCAAGTTCGCATTACAGAATCCCACCAACTCGCAGCTAGAGTCCTTTGTGTAGTGCAATCCAAATTCCAGAGTTTCCTTCACATACTTACTGATCCGCTTAACCGCATGTTGCGTAGATTCTGTCTTTGAGTTGATCCAAGTGTAGCAGTTGTTGGAATTCCTCTTCCCTATTAGGACACACTTGTTTTTCACATCAGACACGAAGCAAGCATTCTTCGTAAATTTCACTTTCATCCCATTGTCACATAGCTGACTAATACTGATGAGGTTGGCTTTCAGTCCTTGAACTACCTTGACGTCAGTCAGTTTGGGTAGCCCAGCATGATCCAGTGTTCCTTTACCCAAAATCTTTCCTTGTTTCCCATCACCAAATGTAACACTCCCTCCACTTGGTGTTTCAATGAACCCTTTCAACAGTGCTTGATTACCAGTCATATGCTTGGAACATCCACTGTCAAAGTACCAGATTCCAGTATCGTTGTTCTGCTCAGTAGTGTATGCCACATTGCACGCTAAATCTGATTTACGAACCCACCTGAGATTCCAAGGAGGATAATCATAGGATGGTGGTGGATACCTGGAAATTCCTCTGTTTCTCCACAAATAGAAACAGTTACGTCTGAGATGTCCTTCTTTGCCACAATGATAACAACTCCTATTTTCTCGACCTCTCCAATTAGTCTTTCTCACAAACTGTCGTGGGTGAGTACTACTTCGTTTGGTTGCAGGTGGCTCTTGACTCAAATT